TTATCGAAACCATTTTGCGCCGGCTTTTTTTGCTGCTCTGCGAATGATCGTACACTCTTCGCTGCTACGCGCGTTTTTGGCAAACTGCCGGTGGATTTCTTTCGTGGAGGACATGGCGTTGACTTCCTCACTTCCGTCGGTGTGATAACATTTTTTTCTGCAATCTTTCCCATTTCATCCAGTGAATCAACCTTACTGCACAGACTCCATCCTGTCTGCACTGCTTCTTCATTTTGCGCCTCTTCAAACTGCAGCGAATTCATACTCGCTTCTTTATTCGCCATGGCTTCTCGAGCATCCACGCCTACAGTCACTGTGGTTACAGTCGTCTGCGGTGTCTTGGAGCGCGTTTTCCGAGCAACGCTACTCTTTGTTTCGCTGGGCCCTGATCCATCGTGCTTTTGTCGTTTGTTAGCAACATCTTGTTTTTCGGCACCACTGCATCCTCGTTTGCCACGAAAACGCTCTTCTTTCTGAAATTAATCATCGTAAATTACAAACTTTTACATTAGAATTCATGGAAGTAAATGAAGAAAAAAAGAAAAACAACAACACAGCAAACCTGATCAGACGGTCCAACCACAATCCCAGCAATATCCTGAGAGGACACAGCGCGAATCATCGGCTGCTTCTGCATACGATTGTAATATCCTCTGCAAAATCGGTCTTTTTTCTCCTTCTTTTCCAAATCAAGATAAAATTACTCCATTCCCTTTGTTATATGCACAACAAGGCAAATACCACAGAGCCAACCCACACTAGAAAGATGACAAATTAAACGATAATCTGACCATTATCCGCAATTCTTGTTGTGATGTGTACTGGCAATGCGAAATATAACTGAAGCGATAGCATTTTAGAACCCACAAAGCAATGCATCAAGCATGCCGGCGTGATCATGCGTTTTTGCGCTAAATTTGGAGCAGCCAGACCGTTAAAAACATGAATGGTAGCAGCGTTACAATTTGATACATGGATTCATGTTGGCTGTGTTTTCGCTTTTTCTTACATGCGTCGGCTGGGGCGGTAATGCTGCATCATGAGGCCGCGTAAAACCCTGTTCTCCAGCATGCATGACTACCGTAAATTTTGCGTGACGGGAAATGAATAAGTCGTCCACTGATAACGCATAAGATGTCGAGTGACATGGAGGACAAAATCCGTAACATGCACTCATTTTTGAGGATGCGATAGAATTGAATATTTGTCATACCCTCAATGCAAAGAGTTACATCTACAACCTGAATTTGGAACACAAACAGATATAGTTCCGTTTTCTATGCTTATCGTTTCTCAAAACTTTTTAAGGCATACATACATAAGATTTAGGCGTGCATGTTTTTACAATTTCAAGTTCCCAGCCTTCCTGGTTGCTGAGCTGAAAGTGCGTGAACAAAACAACCTCTCGACAATATACGTTTTTTATTTGCATAAGGTGCAAAAACGCATAATAAAAATTGCGAAGATCCATTTGCACATCGAACAAAACTAATATTCTATGCCTCACATCGCAACAAATGTTTCCGTGCAATAACTGCCTCTCTACCTTTCCGAATTTTTACACTTTATAAAGGCAAACTGCTAGGCGAAATAAGCAGAAGCAACGCCATTATTGGTACATACCTAGTGCGGCAGGGCGACTTTGAGATGGC